AAAATGTAATATTAGTATAAACCATTAACATAAACCCATAGTAGTTATATATACAGTACATCATACTTGATAGTTATATCATCACTATCAAGTATGATGTACTGTACATAATTATTTGCGTTATACTTTTATACCAGTGGCAGCACAGTGGGTTTATTTATACAGCATTGCCACAAACAACTTAAGTAATGTGCTTTTCTATGACCTTACCATGTCACTATTGATAGGCATTTTTCAGCTCCATTATAATTTTATAGTACCACCATTATATATGTGGTCCATTGTTGACACTGTTATGCACTACATGGCTGTATCTTAATAAATGTAATTGTATTTTTTGTTTGTTTGTTTTAGTGAATGTGTGTCATTTTTTCATCCAGGGGAAGCAAAATAAAAATTAAAATGAAACTAGATATTACTGAACAGTCTCAGAACAAAGTGATCGTGAAATCAATCTAAACTTTCAATTGATGTTTTGGTAAGCCACAGTGTTTATCCTTCTGTTTTTAAATAACAATGCCAAAGAATGGTTTGTTCTGTATTTATTATAACATCGAGTTTGGTTTTCATTTAATTGGCTTCATTTTGGGGACAGGCATTTGTGGGCTAGTAGCTGTCCTGGTACTTAGGCCCAAGGGGCCCTTGTCCAGAATTCATCCATTAGAAGTCTCTTCTCTGTGTCTTGACTGGCTGTACTCCTCCCAATAGGGTGAGGAGTCCAAGGGAAGTCATTAATTGTATTCCCTCATCCCCAAGTCCATAATCCCCCAATATTGTTCTGAGTATCCAGGATCCCCAAATTCCCTCCCCAAGTGGTACAAGCAGGAGTGTTGCCTCTCAATGACTACACTAGCGTGAGCGGACAATACTTATTCTGGCCTTAGTACTTCAAGGTCCAAGAAAATGGTAGGGGGCAGGGAGATACTTTTGGGGGAGCTGGACTGAGCTCTCACCTGCTGGCTGGAGTCCTGTGGGAAGGGAGGAGGTGGCTACAGACCAGGATTTGGAAACCAGCTCTCCCTTTGTCCCCACATTTAAGTACAGAGCATCCTGGAGTTTGAACCTGGCCTTTCACGTCATTAGGAAGATATTATCTGTCAAGGTTGGAAGATGGAACCTGTGGTGCCTAATAGTTTGTTAACTTAGTTGGGAACTTTTAAATATTTAGGCAACTGGTTTATGAACCTTTATTTTTATACTATTGCTCGGGACCCTGAAAATATTTTAGGTGGATAGATCTTGGCCTTAAAGGAAAATTCTTTTTCCACCAATAATATTTTTTCCATAAAAGGATTGGTGGGTAAAAATACTTTCATGCATTATTTATGATGGCGGATGATGGCAAATGATGGCTGCGGACACTGACTGCATTGTTTAAATGGAGTTTTTCCTTTAGTCCTCACAACAACCCGGTAGCCTAAGTACTTAGGAGAAAACCCAGATTCAGTGATATTAAGTAATTTGTTTCAGGCCACAAAGCTTGTGCTTCAATTAGCCTTAGTTGCATAACAAACTACCCTACCTTGAGAATGGGTTGAAACAATTTTTTTTTTCCTGTTATGTGGGTCGACTGGGCTGCTCTATTGCTGGTTTCCTCTGGGTTCACTTATGCAGCCACACTTAGCCAAAGAATGGGCTAGGGTAGGAAGGTCCTCAGTGGCCTATCTTGTCTCCCAGTTGGTGTTGCTGGTGCTGGGACTGAGACCTTCCTTGACTTACTTTTATCTACTTACCATTGCACCTCTTGCCTTTTTAGGTTCTAAATCCCCCTGTGGTCAGGCTTAGTACCCAGTTCCTAGTGGTGGTTAATGATACTTACTCAGGTCACTCCCAAGTAATGTGACCCTAAATGGATTACTTAACAGAAGTCTCAATATGAGTGTGGCACAGAAGACATCAGGTTACTCTAAGGTTCCTATGCAGTCAAGCAGGAGGAGTCCTTGCAGTAATGTCATCACTGCTCACTATTAACGTGATCAATGAATGCATGCTGATTTTTTGAAATAACGGGAACTGTTATGGTTTGGAAGTGAGATGTCTCCAAAAAGCTCACATGTGAGACAATGCAAGAGGGTTCAGAGAGAAAATCATTGGGTTGTGAGAGCCTTAACCCAATCAGTGAATTAATCACCTGATGGGATTAATTGAGGGGTGAATGAAGGCAGCTGGAGCACTGGGGATGTGGCTTTAGGGTATATATTTTGTATCTGGAGAATGGTGGAGTCTCTCTCTCTGCTTCTGACCATGATGTGAGCTGCTTTCCTGCACCACAGTGTTCCACCATGAAGTCCTGCCTCACCTGGATCCCTGAGGAATGGAGCCAGCTGTCTATGGATTGAGATCTCTGAAACCATAAACCCACAAATAAACATTTTCTCCTCTACAGTTGTTCTCATGGGGTGCTTTAGTTACAGCAATGAAAAAGCTAACTAAAACAGGAACAAACTATGCTTGGTTTCTAGACAAACATGCCCCTTACAAGTTCTGGACTGGGAAATAATTTAAAAAAAAAAACAGGGGTGAAATTCTCAGCAGATTTCCAAAAGCGGAAAATAAAATTAAACAAAACAAAAACAAAGAAAGGAACAAACCAAACTGCACTATTTTTAAGATTTCAGCTTGGGACGGCTTGGTTCTTGGTACGGAAAGTGCTGACTCAGCCCAGCTAGGGACCTGGAGGTAGGGACACACCTTTGGCTTATAAGTCTAGGTCACAGGAGCCTAGAGGAGCACTCCTCCTAAGAGTGGGCTTTGCACAGGATACACGTGACCAGAGGGATGCTCACACCCTAGGGCCCTCCCCAGACCCACCAGTTGGAGTCTGTGCACACTGCACACAGAACAACCCCCACCTGCCAGCGGGAGAGGTGTCCCCCTTGCCCTGGGAGCCTAGCTTTGGTGCACCAGACCCAGGGAGCGCAGGGCTAGAGGTCTCAGGAGCCCTCATCGACAAGAAGGGAGAAAAAATGGGGAGGTCTTGGTCAGGTCCGATTTTTCAGTTGGGGGAGACTTAAGGGCTCGCTGTGCTTCCAGCTGGAGAACATTCCAGAAGGCTCCACGCACAATCCCAGGCAGTTGCAGCCAAGGTTCTTCCATGCCAGAATGCAACTTTGAGTCCGGGAGCCCTTATACAGAATGCCAAGCTGCGGAGGCCCCCATCCTCTAATGCGGGGGGCCACAGAGGATGGGACACATTCCTCTCTTCCTCAAAGTGTCTCTGTGGGCAGTTTGATTTCTTGGATGCTGAGGAAGAGGGGAAGTGGAAAGCACCTTGGATTTCAGTGTACTCCAAATAAGGAGATGTAGCTTAAGGAAAGAAAAGAGAACACATGAGGAAGGCTATTATGCTGGAAATGTGTGATTAGGAGAAAACCTGGGCTTTGGAGAGACGAGAAGCAGCAGCTCCCTGCCAAGTGGATTTGGTCCTTGAGACCTTGCAGTTCAGCTTGGTATCATAGGGGGAAAAAAATTGGGCTTGGGCATAAGTGTGGATTTGAACCCCAACTCTAGACCTTGCTACTTGGTCTCTTGGGCATTTAACTTAGCTTACGAAGCCTTAGTCTCTTTGTCTGGAAAGCAGAGACTATGGTCACTTCTTTTTACATACAGAATTGTTATATTAGAAATAACATATAGAAAGTGTCTACTTAGCACTTAGCACACAGTGAAAGGTAGTCTTCCCTATGCATTGTGATAAGTGACGACAAATCTTCCAAACTCAGGACACATAAAGACTGTGGTTTCCCATGATTCACAGTCACCTCTGCATCCTCTACTTTCCTTCCAACTTCAGTGGGTCCCAGTAGGATGTGCTTGGGTCTTGGAGCTAGTCAAGGCTATGCTGGAATGCTGGTTTTAGTACCCACCGCTTGGGTGACATTGAGACATTATTTCTTCCCTACACTCAATTTTCTCATCAGTAAATGAGGAAGGAGATACTCTTCTTTGCTTTTCCTCTTCCCCTTCAACGTTGCCTAAGTTTTAACTTTTTTTTTCCCCGTGGAATGAGTAAGCATAGAGATAAAAGGAGTTATTTTTTTAAAAAATCCAATGAGAATGTATTTTTACAAACATGATAAGTAGCTTATAAGAAAGTTGTTCAAAATGAGAATTGGAACACTTTTGGAAAAGTGCAGTATACTGACTTTTGTTAGCATATGAAAGTTTCTACAGTTGTCAAGATCTTTCAGCTGACTGGATTTGCTAAACTGTACTGTGTACCCAGGCTAGTGGAGGTACAATGGAAATTCTTTACACTGTAATGTTTGTTCTTAGCAAAAAAATGTTTTTACTAATTTTTTATATAGGCATTGATTATTTGGGAGGGCCATAATTGGCTCTATAATATATGTGAATCCTGCTTAAAAAAAACATTTTTTTTTTTTTTCAGTGCTGGGGATTGAAACCAGGGCCTGGTGCATGCAAGGCAAAGTCTCTACCATTGAGCTGCATCCCCAGCCCTACAGTAGGATTCTAGCTAGGCTATTTTTTCCCCCAGTTGTTTTCTTTTTTGGGGGGGTGGTGGTGGTGGTGGTTCCTTTAAGTTTTACATAATATCAGACTTCATTTTGACATAATTTTAAAAGTATGGAAATATTTTGCTCTAATTCTGTGCCCAGTAATTCTCTTTCCCTCTCTTCCTCCCTCCCTTCTGTCCTTCTCTCTATTCTACTGATCTTTCTATTTTAAAAAAATTGTTTTACTCCATTCTGCTATTATTATTTTTTATTTATTTTTATGTGGTGCTTGCAACAAAAACACTCAGGATCACTCCAGGGAAACTAGGCTACATGAAATAAACACACAAGAGACAGAGACACCTTTGTCTTTGGGGGTCTTGTGATGGCTCCTCTGACCTTAAGGGTCCACAGAAAAAGAGCGAGATAGCACATGCTGAATCTTTTTTATTGAGGAGAAGCCATTCAATTGAGGCAAGGGGTCAGGTTTCAGGGGGTTGAGTCTAGCTTAGTGATGTCTGCTGTCAGCAGGTTGACTGACATCCAGGAAGGCCACACCCAAAGGCAGAGCAAGAGAAGGGGACACACAAAGGGCATCTCCATGGAACATTCTATCCCAAACAGGGCAAAGGGGTAATATCAAAAAGGAACAGGGAAGCGTAGCTCGACCCATGGGGTGACACACCTCAGTCTGAAGACTTCGTGGACCAGGGCTATGTCTAGGTCACTACGAGATGTAGCGATAACATTCAGAGCCTCTCTGTTCAGGGAAGGAGAATGCGAAATCGTTCAGACTGGCTGCCCACAGCTGAGGATTGAACCTGTGCCTCCCCTGTGCTCAGTGAGCAGTCTACCACCGAGCCACAACCCCACCCCTGATCTTTCTGGTATTTATTTACAGTTTTGTTTTGTTTTGTGTTCTTAGTGTCTTGCAGAGATACATGATGGTGAGATTCACTGTGGTATATTCACATATGTACATAGGAAAGTTAGACTAGATTCATAATACGGTTCTGCCCTTGTCCTGTTCCTCTCCTCCCACCTCCTCAGTTCCCTTTAACTAGTCTACCAGTCTTTCTTGTATTTTGATGGAATCCCTCCCCCCCCCAACACTGCCCTTTTTTCCCTTCCTGTCTCTCTCTCTCTTTTATTTTAGACTAGCTTCAGCATATCAGAGAAAACATTAGACCTTTGGCTTTTGGGAACTAGTTTATTTCATTTAGCATGATATTCTCCATCCACTTACCAGCAAATGCCATAATTTCATTCTTCTTTATGGTTGAATAATAACTCCACGGAGTATATATACCACATTCGCTTTATCCACTCATCTGTTGAAGGGCACCTAGGTTGGTTCCATAGCTTGACTACTGTGAATTGTCTAGCTAGGTTTAAATAGTCTAAAAAGTAGGTGGGGTTGGATTGGACTGACAGTTTGAATGACTTAGGAGAGTTCATCCAGTAAGACTGGATTTTGTTAATGAATTTGTCATTGTTTGGAGATGCATATGATTTGTTAGAGAAAAATCTGCTACCCCAATATATACAGAACAAAGTGAGAGAGGAAGAGCTTAGGTATTGCCCCAGATAGCATTAGATACCCTTTTATTAGCATGCAAATATCCAAGGTAAATAAATCACTAATGACTCATTCTTAATAGGAAGTGTGGTTCATTTAAAAATGCAAACATGATTATTATTCCCAATAATTTTATAATGTGGGGTTTATGGGCTAAACTAAGAACATTGAAAAGAACTTGCCTGGGGAAGTTTCTCAGAAACTTGCCTCTAGAATAACAAGTCATTAATATCTATCAATCTATCTGAAGCTTGCCTAGCATTTGTGAGGCTCTGAATTGGATACTTCAGCAATGCAAAAAACAAACAAAAATCTGTATTGACTTGGGAGAGTGGTTAAGCTGGACAGAAAGTCAGAACTGTACCTTATTGTCAAAACCAGGAACCTTTTTGAACTTTTGAAGTTTTATGCTATATTTGCAAGTTTGAAGTTTTAAGTAATACTTGACTGAGTTTTTACTAGACAGTCATCAGGCCCTTTCTTCATAAAACTTAGGCTCCTACACATAACAAAAGTGAAACCAGGGTACTGAGATTTCTCTTCCCTGGAAGTTATTGGCAGGTATAGCCTTGATTGTGAAATCACATGCTTTGCTTTTATTGCTTTAGCTCAAAGCCTGGAGACAAGACAGGGTAGTAATGATGGAGAGGGCAGTGACTATGTTCTTAGAATAAATATTATGAAGAAGCAAATTCTCGGCATCTTATCTTTCTAACACAGGTGGGGCTTATCTCTTAACCTTTTCACAGTAGTCTAATTCTAGATAGTGGTTGTCTTTAACTTGGCCAGGTTTGATTACTGGTGAAAATGATTTTTTAGACATTCTGGAGCTATCCTTTTTTCTTTCCTTTTGGAGACTTCATATACCATTACTCATCTTTCAAAAAGACTTCTTGGCATAATTTTGTACCTGTATGATTCTTTGGGGAGGAGGTAGCTTTGATCTCGAGAGATTCATTCTATCACCCATTTATTCATTCAATCAATATTTCTCTCAATGTTTGATAATGAAAATGTTCAAACATTCAGAAAAGTTGAAAGAATTTTACAGTATATATCTACTCTCTCCACCCCACCTAGATTGCATTATCTTTCAACTGCTACTGATTAGTTTCTCCTACTGGGCTAAAAGTATACTTAATAAAGCTGTAAAAGGCAGAGTAAGGTCAGGGGAGGAGGAAGATTTTGATTTGGACCGAAGCATAATTTTTGAAGGGGTCATGTGACTTTGTTTTGGAAAGTTATGTTGGAGTCCCACTGTGGAGGACACTGAATTTCATGACAGGAAGTTTATATGTTCTTCCATTTGTAGTTAGGAGCCATTGAAGGCATTTGAGAAAGAGGACGTCATGTGTTTTAGAAAGCTCATTCCAATGTCAGCATTAGGAGGATCTGCAGTCTGAGAGATGTTAGGAGGCTTTGCAAATGCAGTGGTTATCTTGTGAACAGAATGGGTTGCAGAGAGAAGATAAAGAACACAGGTGGGACTTCAGGACTGACTTGAGGTGTGGACCATTGGTGTCAGAACTTGGACATCTGCGTTAATAGTGGGGTCTCTACGGTGTGGTCCCTATATAAAGAAGTCATAAGAGTAGGAAGTTATAGACACTGTGGGATTCCAGGGATTGCTTGGAGTAAGAATATTATCTTGAAATGCCGGATATCAGTGTCAAGACTGAACAAACAAAAGGAAAAAGCAGTTAGTGCTCAGGTATGAGAATGTTTAGAAAGAGGGAAAGAAGGACAAGAACTGATTATATGGTGTTTTTGGAACAGAAAAAGTACAGGTGTCCAGTTATCAGTATTTTAATGACTCTTCTGTCGTCAGTGTTCAATTCTTCTTAATAACTTACAACAGTCACTAACAACAAAACAAACAAACAAACAAAACCAACCTCCCTGCTAATAGAGTGGAATAAGTCTTTCCTCTCCTTTATAAGAGGTGCAGAAAAAAAGCTGAGGGAGGGGGAAGGAAGAAAGTTAATATTTTTAATATAGGACTTTTAGAGTATGTAGTGCTTTATTCATGTAAACCACTTCCAAATAGGAATTCAGGTAATTTAATGAATTCGTCTTATCTTTTCACAAGACAACGACCACTCTATCTGGAATCATAGCAGCCTAACTGATGGCATCCATGGTTTCCAAATGAAAACCTCAGGTGTGACCCTTATTCCAGATGCACAATCACCAAGACTTTGTCCAAACTGTAAGTAACCTAAATTCCTCCTTCCCTTCCACTTTAATCCAAGAAGTGTGGTTGAAAAAAAAAATATTCAGCTCTGTAAACTCATTATAATTACCACTTGCAAGACAAGTGAGATTAGATTTATTTAGAATCTGTTGTGTTGCCAAGGATTGTTCCAAGATCTCAAGTATATGGTGAGGGCAGGGACTGTCTTTTGTTACTATGTAGTAGAAAAAATACGTATGTATCATCTCATGAATCCCTCACCATCACAATGAAAGGCAGTTTGTTTCTACTCAGAATGCAAGTACTTTACCTTAACATACAGGGTTTTAAGTGGCAGAAAATACATTTGAAGTAGTGTGTGCACACTCTCAATCCTTCATACTGCCCAAAGGACCTCTCTCAAAAATGCCAGGCCTGCATTGTCTTTCCAAATGCTTCCCAACTCTGTGCCAGGCACTGTTGGGCGTTTGCACGTGTGGTTTCCTTGCTGGGGCTACCCTGGTTTGGGAGATGGTTCAACAAGGAAGCCCAAAGCAAAATTGCATAATTACTTATTATGGGATGTCTGCCCTCTTATCCTGTATTATTTTCGCCCTATTTCTTAAACTCTGCTCAAAGGACTAACCTCCCTCAGAAATGCCAACCCCCTAAAAGTGACACGTTCATGAAAACTTCCTCCTTCTCTGTTTAATAAGTACTTCACTAATTTCCTTAAGTTCATACCTTCAATCCTCATTGTTTGAAGGGTAAAATGGAGAAAAATTAATTTCTGTTATTTGTATTTTCTTGCCAAACTCATGTCTTTCCCCCAGCATCCTGTGTGTGTGTGTGTGTGTGCATCTCTAAGGTTGCTTCTTTTTATTTATTTTCCCTTCCATGTGAGGATTTTGGAAGGAGAGTGGGACAGGATGTGGGCCCATAGCAAGGTCACTTCTGTAGACTTTGGTAGACATAAGAATTGAGCTGTTTCTTCAATTCTTGTTTGATGAAGTTACAGGTTGCCAGTTGCATCGTGGGCAATGGCGTTTGCACTGCGAGTGGAATCATGAACCAATGAGGACTTCACAAGAGCAGGGTTTGTGGGTAGTGGGTTATAGAGATAAGCCTTGGAGCCCTATTATAGCACTTACCCAATCTTCCTGGAGTTACGGGATTTTGTGCATATGTCTGCTTTCTTTTCTAGAATGAGGGCTCCTTGAAAGTAGGTGCTCTTTTTCATCCTCATAATTCTGGCAAAGTACTTCACCCTATAGGATATGTCCAGAGAATCTCTAATGAACTGAGTGCTGTTGGAGAAGACAAAGTTACTTTCATGGAGAAAAATGGAAGCGCCTGGTTATTTGAACGGACCAAGAGATGTTTTTGTTCAGTGCTGAGGGAGGATAGGAGGGTTGCAGGGAAAGACCTGGCTGGGCAAAAGCCCATTAGCTCCTAAGTCAGGCAGAAAGAAATGAAGAAAGTCAAAGGCACATCTGGACTCTATGAGTTTTGCATTTGACACAAGGGAAAAATGGCAGCCACAATCAATTCTGAAAGTGAAGACTATTCCTGACCGAGTTTCTTGGTGAAGAATATTATTCTCAAGCAGCTAATCAACTGGAAATAATCTGTATCATGTTATTTTGCTTCTCCCCTTCTCAGTGTTGGAGTATTTGTGGAATTTACTTGGCTTGGAAGACAGTGACCTTCTTGTGCCACTGTGACCCAGGACTTCCTGAACTGGCAGAAGGCAGTGCTTGCCGTGACATCAGTAGTTCTTCCTCAGTTCACCATAAACACGTACCTAAGTGTCAGGGTCTGAAGAATCTAGACTTTGTTTCAAAGGAAACTGGCTGGAAGCCACTGATTGAGAATTTGCTGATAGGGATTGGTTTTTTAAAAATCTGTGCTCAAAATATATGTAATTGAACCAGTTTTGTGGCACAGACCCCACAATAGCCTTTCTTAGGGACCTGGCTTTACATATACTGACCCAAGTGTATGGGTTCAAGGCCTCAGACTGAGCTTTGGCGCTCGCTCTCTCATCACGGTGGCCTGCACGAATCAACACTATGACTCACACCCCCTACAGCAGTTTTATCTGATCTTCTTGGCTGCTGTTTTAAATCATAGAAATTCCAAGCTGGGAGAGGATGTTGAGAATTATACTGCCCATCTAGCCTCTTTACAAATTCAGGAACTGCAATCCAGAGAGAGGAACAAATTGACTGACCCAAGGATACACCTGTTGACACAGTCACAGCTGGGACTTGAACTGGTGTGCATGCAGGAATTGTGGCAAAGGGCTTTCTTGTGTGTCTCAGAACAATATGGAGGGCCTCAGTTCCCCTGCATGGTCTGACTTTATTTTCTCTTCTCTGTATATTTTATGGTCCCCCCTTAACATTTCGGGTTTTTTTTCAGTACACTTTTCAAGTGGGATGTTAAATCTCACTGATCAAAGACCAGTAGGAATACACTTGTAATGGCATAAAGTTAGTTTTCTTAGTTCCCTTGCAACAAAGGAGACCCTGAGGTTTGGGGAGCTAGGAGGAGGCCTCCTCCAGGCATGGCCTTGCGCTATGGGAGTCAAGGGAGGAATCCATCGGGGGAATTGGCTGATGACAAGTTGCCTGGGAAGTTGGGCAACTAACTTTCTCAGAAGTCTCCCTTCAGGAGGTGGGAGGGACCATCAAACCAATATTGTTGGTAAGAAAACAGCAGTAACTCAGAAGAAAGGATTGCCAGTCATTTTATAAGTGTGACCTTGATTGTGTAGAAATACTGCAGTTTTCTGCTAGGAGCATCTCAGTCTGATCAGGAGCAAGTCCAATTTGTACTTTCTTGGGGATCTTATTCTCTCTCTTTGTTTCTGTCTGTCTGTCTCTCTCTCACTTGCTGTCTCTCACACACACAGACTCACCCAGATCCCATAGATGCTAGTTAAACTCATGGCACAATCTAGTACTTGGAGATCTTGGTGGTACCATAATTCCCCCACCCCTAGTCTAAATCAGATGGAAGTCAGGCAGATTCTTTGTTCTATTTCAGCTGTCCCTTTTCATCACTCACAGGGCTCTGCCTGTTCTCCCATCTTGGTATTTTCCAGCCTGCCCTGACCATCCTGTGGTATTGTCATTTCCCCACCTTCATTCAAGCTCCCATCATCTTTGTTGGGGATCACGATGAAGCCTGCTAACTTTCCAGCCCAGGCCTGTCCTTGCACTATGGCCATGATATTCTTTTCAAAATGTCAAGCCCTTCAACCGTTCCTAGTCACTAAGTAAAAAGGTAAATTTCTTAGCACATCTTACAAGACTCTGCATGACCAGCCCTCCGTTGACTCCTCTAGGTTCTATTCTGTTCCTTCTCCATTTCCTCCATGTGCTGTGTCCTGCCTCTGGATTGGTTACCTGTTGCTGCCTAACACTTTTTAAAAAGGCATAAATCCATTCCCCCACCTCTGCGAATCAGAGCAACAACACCAAATGAGGGGAATGGCGAGATTCACTTAGCTAGGAGTTGAGACCAAGGTTGGAAACTTGCCTGGAGATTTACAGTAGTCCAAGCAAGAGTTGACAAGGACTGGATTAGTCTGAAGATGTAGGGATAGAGAGAAGCCGGTGGGGGTTTGAAAACCATATAGGAAATTCAGTGGGTGATTGCTGCGAGAAGCAGCAAAGGGTAAATAGACAAGTCAGGAATAAATCCTAAGTTCCTAGCTTTAGGATTTGAAAGCATACAGCTATTTCCAACCTAGACAGAAAACAGAGAAGGAAGGATAAGTTCAGGGAAAAAGATAATACATTTGGTTTTTGAGTTCTTAATTATTTTTAATCTTTGTCAATACAATACATATATATAGGTGAAAATCTGAGTAATAGTTCTCATAATAAACCCATCCTTCATTTATCTCTGAGACTTCCTCCTATATTTTCACCTATTATAGTGCTTTTACCTGTCATTATATTTATCTCCAAATTCTGGGGTTTTTTTTGTTTGTTTGGGTTTTTTTTTTTTTTTTTTTTTTTTTTGGTACTAGGGATTGAACCCAGGGGCACGTAACCACTGGGCCACATTCCCATCCCTTTTTTGTATTTTATTTATAGACAGAATCTTACCAAGTTGCTTAGGGTCTTGCTAAGTTGCTGAGGCTGACTTTGAATCACAAGATCCTCCTGCCTCAGCCTTCTGAGCCACTTTCATTGTTGTTAGACGGAAAGTGAGTAAGTGGTTTGCAGAGAATGCAAGCAGAACATAAAGGAAACCAATTCACATTACAGAACAGCGAAAAGGAAACAGAACACAATCCTTTTAGTTAAAGTCATGACACAATCTAGTACTTGGAGATCTTGGTGGTACTACCATCTACCCACTCTAGATGAAGTCATGCATGCAGCTTATCTCCAGTTTCTAAGTAACCTGCCTAGTCCTGTTTTCTTGTTAGAAAATTGTACTTTTTGTTACTTTGAAGTGTTTTCTATTCAACTCCTATTCAACAAGGTGAGAACTTAGCACTTTTATGTACTTTATCTTCCAACTTACCCTGATTATAGAGTTTTCTTTCTTTCTTTCTTTCTTTTTTTCTTTTTTTGCTAAGTCAATATCTAATGCTCAATATCTTTGCTCATGACTGAGCCAAGTAGCTTACTATAATTGCAATCCCTTTCTTGAATGTTTTAATATACCCTTTTTACAATTGCCTTTTTTTGGGATTTTTTTTCCAAATGCTCTTTAAAAATGACATTCTGCTGTTTACTAAATGCAACAACTTCTCTTACCTCCTTAAGAATGTATGTAATTTTCCCCCAAGTTATTCTGCTTGGTGCATTGCTGTTACTTCTGAGGGTTTTTTTCCCCCCATGTAGTTCCTTTTGCAGTTTCTTCCAAGTTGGCAGTTTTCCTGTGGTTCCTTGCAATCTGTTTATGTAAGTGTGAGAAACTAAATTGCCGGTTGGAAGCTCCATTGTGTTGAAGGGACCTGTCAGCAGTTAGTTGTTGGATTCCAACGCATTTCATCAGAGGACCCCATGTCTGCATTTCTAGGATCCAGCTCTTGTAGGGAGGAATCCTGCATAGGGTGAGGAGGAGGTGTATGGTCCTGGTTGCCAAGTTAGCACTCCGTGTTCCAAGGCTGGGGGATGTTGGTGTGTAGATTTAGTTTTCAGTAGGGTTGCCTCTTCTTCACTATTTCTCACAGTTCCAGGTCCAGACTGTTTCTGGTTCAATTTTCTGAAGAATAAGTTTTCTATAGAATAAGTTGTTCCCCTGTTCTGTTGGCAGGAGGAGAGACCCTGAGGACCTGTCAGTGTTGAGGGACATCAGTTACCTCTGCTTCTGGCTTCAGGCTTCACTTAGCACTCTGTAGTGTCCAGTACTTTCCATTTTGAGCCTTTCCGCTGTTCTGCAATGTGAACTGGCTTGTGTTTCATTTACGTTCTGCTTGCATTCTCTGCAAACCATTTGTTCACTTTCCATCTAACAATAACGAAAGTTTGATCTGCCTCATTTTCTCTTGTCTCTCCTGTTTTCTTGGGTCATGGACTTTATACCTTTTTTTATTTTTTTAAAATTTTTAGTCGTAGATGGACACAATACCTTTATTTTATTTATTTACGTGGTGCTGAGGATCGAATGCCGTGCTCCACGTGTGCGAGGCAAGCGCTCTACCATTGAGTCACAACCCCTGTCCTCACTTTATACCTTTTAAAAATGTCTTTACTCTCATTTTATGGAGGTTTCATGTAGGAAGAGAAATAAATAAGTACATTTATTTCACCGTTTTAGCAGAAGGATTGGGTTCTGTTTCAAGGTGTTGAATTTAATAAACCCTCAGGACATCAGGTGGAAGTGTCATGCTGGCGATTAGATTGATGAACCTGAAGCTTTAAAGAAGAGCTGATCTGAGTGGTATCAGCAGACAGTCCTAGTGGATGACCACCCTGGAGAGTGTGTGGGGGTTGAGATAAGCTGTGGACAGGGATGGAAACCTGGCTCCATAATTAAAGGCAAGGTAGACAAAGAGGAAACTATGAAAGAGAAAATTCTAGAAGACCCATGAAAGCACAGGTTACAGAAGACAAGTCAGTGATAGAGATATAATAGGGGCAATGAGATCATGTCATAAAAGTCAATTATAGGCTGAAATGTTTGTTTTGAATTTGGAAATATGGAGATCATATTAATGATCAATAATTAGATTATAGCAAGATGTTATGGACAGTTGTTAGAAGGCAGCAAGAAACAGTGAAAGTATATATATTTTCTT